TCTCGTTATTTAAGTTTCTCTTCAACTCTTGAATGGGGCATTTCTACCATTGATTTCAGATTTCATTCAATTATAAGCCTAATGCTCTTACCAAGTTGCGAAAATAAGGTCGAACGAACACTAATAGAATTGGTCTTGATTGGAGCAATACCGCTTTCTTGAAAATCGTTTAGTTTGAGCCGATGAGTGGCTTGAGATTCACACTACTTTTAATGAAGCAAGCTTCACTTCATTTGTTTGAGAACGTGCATAATTCACGCTCTGACGCTGGAAATTATTATAGATGCTATGGCAGAAAATTTCGAAAAACGGGCCTTCATCTAGGTCTCTGGCAATACGACCAAGTTGCGAAAACGATGTTAAACCACTTCAATACATCCATTGATTTCTTTATGAAAATTTTGGTTGTCAGAAGGCAGTGCGCATTTTGTATCGATATGCGCTCATTAGTGTTTAGTTAACGTCATTTTATATTCTCTATTTAACGATATATTTGAGCCGCTCAATTTTCACTTATACTTTTTAGCATCTCTTATGCTTTATCTCCACTTTTTCATCGTCTAGGTCTTCACTTATTAGCGAATCTCGCTAGGTTGCCTTCTCGCGAAAACGCAGAATCCCTTGCCACTGGGCTATCGCCTGGAGTCTGGACTCGTTTGCCTAGCCTCCTTCTATTGCCCGACCTAGCGCTCGTCTGCGCTGCATTAGAAGCAATGCGTTGTCTTACAAGCTTGGGTGGCGATTGTTGCACTAGGCTTTGGCGGGAGAATTGTCCCATCCTCACTACCACCAATAACAGCAATATTACCACCATTAAATCCTCTAGGCATCACACTTCTGCTCCACTTTACAATCAGTCTACTGCTGCCGGGAAGCTGTGTTCTTCTATTGTATTCGGTGGTTCTCCGGGGCTCTCAAATAGAATGCCAGTGGCCAGAGCTCTAGTGGGCCCATTACTTTCTTATTTGACCCTGGAGGGCCAATCAATGGGTGTAGGCTCGTTAAGACGCATCAAGGTAGGCTTTTGTGTTTTGCATTTGTCACCATTTCCCTTATTTACTTCCACATACAATCTTTTACGATTTTTATTTATGCCATTTTCTTTTTTTGGTTTTTTATTTAAATTTTTAATTGTTTACATTGTTGAGGGGACTTTCACTTCGTATGAAAGTGTGTGAAGAACAGATTCGTAGGTCGATCTCACCAGAAGAAGATGGCTGAATCCCGTTGTACTGCAGTCGTTTGGCTTTTATACGACGTTTAGGTTGACGCAGTCCACGAGACTTCTTCCCTTGTTTCCATCATATGATGGACATAATCAGAACTGGAACTCATTCTTGTAAAAATCTCAAGTTAACACTAGGGAAAGAAGATTATCCGGCTCTATCTTATAGAATGGTCTCACACTAGTAGGTTTGCTGATTATGATACGTTTGCTGTTAAATGAAAGATACGAGAGGCTATTGAAATTAATAGGTAATAGAATACGTTGAATGTGAGGAACGGTGGTAGAAAGTTGAATAGGAACTACTTATGCTAGACTGATAGATTGAAGGAGAGAGAGGGTGTTTAACCGCCATCCAAAAGAAGGCGACTCAACTTGTCTGCTCAGTGATGGTTTTAACTTCACTCACACTTGCGAACATGTTAGATTAAGCTCATCAACCAAACCAAACGTGTCAGATTACGCAGCCCTATTCATTCCTTTCCTCCGGTGGTTAAGCGTTAATGACTCTAGATTGAGAGGCTAGGACAATTGGTTAGTAACTTGACTTACTTGCTTACAAGCCTTGGGTCATTAAGCCTTGATGACCAGAGCCTGACATTAGTCTTTTGAACACTTATTTATGACCAATTATATATCTATCTAGGTTTTTTTAATTTTCTTTTGCTTAATTGAGTCTATATACGGTTTATGCTTGAGCCGGATAGTCTTCTTGTCCTAGTATTAACTTGAGATTTTTACAAGAATGGGTCCTGGCTCCGATGATGTCCATCATATGATCGACGAAAGCCCAGCCTGTTTTCACTCGAAATGAGAGTTGAGGTCTTGTGAACTGCATCAACCTTAACGTAATATAAAAGCCAAACGGCTCCAGTACAGCTGGATTTAGCCATTCTCTTCTGGTGAGATCGACCTACGACTCTCTTCTTCATGCACTGTCATACTAAATGAAAGTCCCCCCAACAATGTTATCTCACGAGATTTATCGAAACTCAGTTACTCTTCGTATCTGTTTACACGAATATTTCATTAAAGATTTCAGAGAATTGTATTAAGCTCGGGCAAACACAGGTAATTAGGTCGGTAAATTATTATGTTTTCCATTTCCAATTAAGATAACATATGGAGAGTAGTTTTGTTTAAAGACGGCTGGCAATTTTGCATCTGCCTATGATCTGTTGTGAGCGTCATTTACCTTACTCTTCTAAGCTTTCGTTTCTTGAAATATCTTCAGCCCATTCTTCCTGTCAACAATTGTCTTAGGAGTATGAGACAAGATTCGATCATGACAAATCTGCACCCATCTGTGTTCACGACCATTGATTACGCAAATATTTCCACTTACTTTTCGCTGTAGTACGTACCTGGATTTTATGAGCCATATCTTTAGGAATGCAGATTATTGTGTATTTTTTGTTTCTGTGTAAATTAGAGCATGGATGAATCGAGTCCCATTCTATCTTCATTTGGCAGCCATCCTTCACCATGCTTAATAATGACTGATGATTCTTATTTGATGAATTCATTTATTCTCTCTAGACAATTACCCATACCATTTATTATGATAACCTATCTAAATTATGTGTTCAATGGTTCAAATAATTGCATCTTTTCTACAATTTTGTTCCATTAATAACCTGCGTGTCAAACATAATCACTAAGAGTACCCATTTTTGGTAAAATGTGTTCAGTTCTACAGGATATGCTGTAATCTTATACATCCTGACTAGTGTTAAATCGAAAACAATATGATCATATAACCCACATCGAAATTACCAAGACTTATAACACAGGCAACGCTCTTAATTATGCCGAATTTTCATTCATTTGTTTGCCTTAATAACTGAGTTTAGTATACTAGTCTTTAAAGTGTCATCTGCTTTCGTAACCAAGACAAAGTGTAGAAGAT